TCAACAAAGATTTCACATTGTTTGTAAATTCTTGTTGACTCAAGTATAAAATGCCATTTCAGAGTTGAATCTGTTTGTTTGTCTTTCATTTGCATAATACAACAATATGTAAGACATTAGTATGTAAAATGTTAGCTAACAATGGTTGATTATCAGTATTGGCTAGCCATCAGGCCTCTAGAAACACCCCACTAAGTTTGCTATTCACTAAATGTTTAGCTAATAGGAGCTATCCAATCACAAAAACATAGCTTGCTGACATTTCCATTGAATTTTACCCAACTTACCTTTTATTGTTTGTTTTATTGCCTGTCTATCCTCTTCTTATTTGACAGTATCAGGAGCATGATGGTACCGTTAGTGTTGATAAACAGACTACTTAGTTGGCTAGTTAGTTAGGCTATGATGTATGCATATTAGGCTATGATATATAGGTGCTAGTCTATCATATGATATGAACCACACAGGGCTAACTTACTCCTACTTAACTAGCTAATGTTAGTAAGCAGAAACATACCAGTGTTCTGATGAATTGTGCTAAGCTACCTTGTCAAAATGTCCTACTGTGGTGCATATTTATAGGTAGAGACTTACACAAAACTGTAAGTAGGATATTTTGATAGCCTAAATTACACAAAGCTGAAGTCAGCTGCTTATGCACCAGCTTCTTTTTCTAATTTTCCCGTTTTACCTTAAATGGTGCAGCAGTTACATTCTGGCTCCCTAGCCCATTGAGGCACTCAGGCACTATTTAAGGTAAAACAGGAAAATCCTAACAAGAAGGAAGCCGACTTCAGCCTCGTCTAAATCACTGTGTCAGAAAATGCCATCAGCATTACACTACAGTTGAAGAGGTGTTGATGTGTTGATACATTAAAACTATGAAGCTGAAGTCGGCCTCTTATTCAATTTTTCCTTTTATATTCTGGCACCTCAAGAAGCCGGTGAATGTCTTTACCAGAAATGAATACAAAGCGAGCGCTGCACAGATTATTATTAAGCATTTAGGACCATCAGGAACACAATCTGCCTTCTTGATGGTCTGGGTCCATAATCTTCTGCAGTTTTTTGCCAAAGGGATAGAATCGGGATATTAAACATTCTCCAACCATCTCATCTGCAGTTGGTGCAGTTTACTGCTCAATAACTTCTTGTCATCGTTGCATTATTCCGTGAAGAGTGACGCTTTCTATTGCTTTCTACCTTAGTGGTGTCAGCATCTCTGTGATGACGTTGCACACAAACCTGCCTATAGCGCAACATGTTCTCTTCAACACGGATAAATGAATAAATAAATAAATAATATTTGTCATGCAGCCTGCAGTAGTATCATTTTTGAAAATAAAAACGACCAGTGTAAATTGAGTTGTATTAAAATTATTCAAATTTGCATGATTTGCTATTGAAAGGTAGACGACATAGGTCTGCGAAAAGTGTGTGTTCATAAATACCACCCTCTCAGCATACTGCCAGACACAGCAGAGGGGCACAAGGGGGCAATCTGCTGTCTACTGCTGTCTCATTTTTGTCCATTTTCTGTGACATCCCGGCTTTATTTCGAATGTCTAACTTCCAATCAATATGAATTTAGACCCACATCACTGAAAGAAAAGTGCAGTTTACCACATGAAAAAAATGTAGCCAAACTTAGATCCATCAGTAATTAGTTCAGTAATTACTATATCGTTGCCAGAGTTAACATGGTAACGTTAACATTAGTGACTTAATCATTTATCGTATTGTCTAAGTATTTTTTCACCTGAATACATGTGTTGTTTTGATGAAGTGGACTAGATTCCTTATGAGGTAGATCTAGTGAAATAATTTATCCAGGCCTTGGGTCAGGAGGTCATAACTCACTGCTATTTATGCATGCTTCTATAGCGGTATGCGGCAGAAGCAATCAAAGTGGAATTGAAGCAGATGCAGCACACATAAACTTTAGTTTCACTTTAATTGCTTTTGCCTTCCTCCACTATAGAAGCGTATACAAATAGTAGCATAAGAGGCTACATTGATTATCATAGTAGGGTTTGAATGCATCACTTTACATTGGCTGTATTATAAGGATGTTGTGGGAAGATAAATCTGCAACTTTCCTAAAAAATAGACATTTGCTCACTTTCTATAAATGTGACTCCTTAGCTTCCTTAGCTTTTTCTGTGGCATAAATCTGCTAGACCGTCTAAACTAGTTAGCTATCATTAACAGACTCTGCTACAGCTAAGTCTGCTATAATAAAGGAACAAGAGAGATGCTGACTGTGTATGGACTGCATTTCCCATGTGTCGTGTGTGCGCAGGGACGCAAAGACATAACAGAAAATATGAATTTAAACCAGACATCCACTCTGTTTAAGCCACAGTTGTTTAAAAATGATATAATATTAACAATACACGGTTGCTCCTGAGTGGTGCAAAGCAGCATAAAAGCAGCATAAAAAAGAATCCCAGAGAGTCTTTCAGAAGTAAAGATGAGGAGGGGTTCACCAATCTGTGAAAGACTGCACGATCAAATATTGCAACAATTCAAGAATAACATTTCTCAACATAAAATAGCAAAGAACTTTTGCTTTTCATCATCTACGGTACATAATAACATTAAAAGATTCAGAGAATCTGGAGAAATCTCTGTTTGCAAGGGACAAAGCCAAAAACCAGTATTTGCTGGCCATGATCTTCGGGCCCTCAGGTGGCACTGCATTAAAAACAGTCATGATTCTGTAGTGGAAATCAGTGCATGGGCTCAGGATCACTTTTGAAAACCACTGTCTGTGAAAACAGTTCGTCGCTGTATCCACAAGTGCAAGTTAAAACTCTAAAACACAAAGAAGAAACCATGTATAAACAAGATCCAGAAACACTGCCACCTTCTCTGAGCCCAAGCTCATTTAAAATGGACTGAGGGGAAGCGGAAAAGTGTTTTGTGGTCCGACAAATCAACATTGAAATTCTTTTTGGAAATCATGGACATTCCCCAGGCTAAAGACCACTCAGCTTGTTATCAGTCCACAGTTCAAAAGCCAGTATTCATGTTGGTATAGGGGTGCATTAGTGCACATCTATGAAGGCACCATTAATGCTGAATGATATGCTGCCATCCAGATGATGTCTTTTTTAGGGAAGGCCTTGTTTATTTCAGCAATACAATTCTGCATGTATTACAACAGCATCGCTCCGTATTAAAAGAGTCCAGATGCTAAACGACAAAGGAGACTCTGAACTGTTGAGCAGCTGAAATCCTGTATCAAACAAGAATGGAAAACATTTCACTTTAGCAGTCTATAAACTATAGCAGTCGGTGTCCTTGGCTCTTACACTTACAGAGTGTTGTAAAAAGAAGAGGTGATGAAAAACAGTGGTAAACATTCCCCTGTCCCAATTTTTTGGAACATGTTGTCGGCATCAAATTCAAAATGGGCACATATTTTTCACAAAACAATACAATTTCTCAGTTTCAACATTTGATATGTTGTCTCTGTAGTATTTTCCTTTAAAAATATGGTTTAGATGATTTGCATATCATTGCATCATATTTTTATTTACATTCTACACAGCGTCCCAAATTTTTGGAAATGGTATTGTAAATTCTCCTCCAAGCACATTGGGCTGTCCAATGATGTAGTGTTCAAGAGTAGCTGGCTTCATATGTCTTGGAGAAAGCATGTGCTAGTCGTCACCCTCTTAGCTCAGTAGCATTGTATGATTGAGGGAGACCTACGTAGTGGGTGAATCTGGCTATAGTTAAAACCAATAGTAACCCTTTACTATAGGGTACTGTTCATAAAGCTACATGACACCTCCATAAGCTTGTCTTGACAACTGACATAACCCTATATAAATGTTTATAAATGCTTATTCCAATAGATGTCATTCGCTACCAAGGTTACATTTGTCAATTTTGATCAAAGTTACTGAAGTAGTATTTATGACAGATGATGCTTTTTGGAATAAGCATTTATAAACATTTTTGTAGGGTTATGTCAGTAATCATGACAAGCTTATGTAGGTGTCATGTAGCCTTAAAAACAGTATCCTACAGTGAAGTGTTACCAAAAAAAATCAGGTTGCTATCATCCCTTTTGGGAGAAAAACATATATCACCATTTTTGACATATTTTGAAAATACAAGCTGGCCCTTAAATTTTGTTACAATTTCGTTATGAATGGACCAAAGGAAATGGTCCAAAAAAGTCTTGTTCCATTATGAACTCTCGAGTAAAAATGTTTTTTGTAGATAAAAGGTTTTGTCCAGATGTGTTGAAAGCAAATGTATAGGGCCATTCATAAATCTACACCTATGATTGTATGCAGTACACCTTTCATTTATTCTTTATGTTCCTCCAGTCATTTATTCTGGTGTTGCCTTTAATTTGTTGTGGTCTGTTTTTCTTTATTGTCTGCCTTACTTATGTATTTATTTTCTCTTTGTATAAAATTGTAGTGTGCATAAATTTGGGTGTAGTTCTTTGATAGGACACACAACACTTGCTTGTTTATATGTTCAATTTTTGTATTTTATTGAGAGAGAGATAGCAAGAGAGAGAGAGAGAGAGAGAGAGAGAGAGAGTACATCGGTAATCTGTCCAGCTGTTGGTTAGTGAGTCAGCTGTATCCTGTGCCACTCATCCAGTATCAGCTCATCTTATCTTATTTTGGAAGCATCTGCTGGCAGTGGATGGAGCGAGTGGTCCAGAGCTACGGTGCTCGGCCCTGGCTGTGAGGAGCACAGAGCAGGAGATAGGGTGGATTATCTCTTATTAGGGCCACGCTTCACTCCCTGCCTCGCCTTGTCTGCTACAGAGACAGAATGTGTGTGTGTGTGTGTGCATGGGTGTGTCAATCCTCTTACTATCAGTGGGGCTTCGTACCCCCTCTGTGCCAGCGTAAGTCCATGCAAGCAAACTTCAAAGCCCTATCAGACACACATCAGCCTCCTTTCTCTCAGATACTGGTCCCTGGTGGGGTGATGCGAGCTCAGAGCTGTATGTGTCTCCACAGGAGGAGCCTTACGTGATGTTCAAGAAGTCGGACAAGCCTCTGCACGGTAACGATCGCTTCGAGGGCTACTGCATCGACCTGCTGCGTGAGCTGGCCAACATCCTGGGCTTTGTCTATGAGGTACGGCTTGTGGAAGATGGCAAGTACGGCGCGCAGGAGGAAAGCACGGGCCAGTGGAATGGCCTGGTCCGGGAACTGATGGACCACGTGAGTCTCAATCAATACACACTAGTCACTTATTGATCTGTCAAATTGCTAAACTGCTACAACTGCATGAAATAGGTTGGCTTCTGCCTGTTCTACCTGTAATGTGTAAATGGACAGACATCTGGGCATGTGTCTGTGTTTCAGCACAAAAATGCACTGATTTTGAAGGAAAATGAGAGAAAACAGAGGTATTCTGAATCGTAAGGACCAACAAAATGGCCCTGACTGCATAAAGTGCTTTTTACAAAAGCCATGTTTCATTTTTTAAAACTACAAATCCAAATGTTTAGGCCTTAAACTGTCACATTTCTATGAGCAGTTCTCCTAGTTGAGAACAAACTGGGGTTTGACTGCAACATCAAATAAAGATCAGTGTTTAAAATATATATGCCAAGTGATTATTTTTTTAATAATTGCTCTCTTCTTTAACACTGGTGTTTGATTGATGTTACAGTCACATTTTGTTCCCCAGTTTTAAACAAAACATTGCAATATATTTATCAAGTGTTATTGTCACAAACAGAAGCAGATTGTAGGAGCTTTAATTAAATGAAACAAGACACCATCATGAACAAAATGCTTGAGAACAGACTTACAGTGACACCTTGAATTGAGTAATATACATTGAAATGACACAAGACCAGACAAAAAGGCAAGAAAAACAAGTGGGCTGCTTATACACAACACAAGACTATGCGTAGAGAGGAGAGGGAAACCATGACAATAGAAACGTATTTAAAACTTAAACATTTGGATTTACAGGGCAAAACAATTGTTTCTGGTTACTGCTGTTAAGGTTAGAATTAGGTTTACAAATAAGCTTAGAAAATGACTACATGTACAATACTGTGCAAAAGTCAGAGACCATTTATTGAATTTCCAGTCAAAAACAGCCATTAAATAAAAGTTATTAAATAAAGTTATTCATTTTTCCATCAGATATTGCTGAGCAGATAAGAGATGATTAGATATAATTTACACTTGCATAAAGAAAATAAAAAAAGAAAAACACTAGTTCAAAACATTGTTATTAGATAACTCTCAGGATACAAGATAGGAAAAAATATAACTCGACTCTTGCTTCAGATCTAAAAAAAAATACACAGTTGTTTATGTCCATCTTTCCACTGTGAGAAGACCACGCAATGGTATGAGTGTGTGGCTGTTAGGAAGCCTTTACTGAGATAAGAAAGAGACAAAAAAAGAAAAATATTAAACAAAGAAGTTGCTGGTGTTCTCAGATCAATCAACTTTGAACTTACTTATTGGTGGTCTTAATTAGAAATTAAATGAATGAAGGGTGGTGTCTGACTTTTGCACAACACAGTAGGTAGTAACATGGTTGATATGGTTTAAAACAGTTTGCTGATGATTTCGCACGGTGCTTTGTATATATAACCCGAGTGTGTGTTTGTGTGTATGTGTAAAACGAGGAATAGAGCTGAGGATGTAGCAATGTAAGAAACTTCAGCACTCACAGCTGCAAACAGGATATAAAGTGAGGTTTCTAGCATGAATTCTCCCCCCATAGAGCTTATTACACACTCTCACAGATACACACACACTGCTATAGCCACCCTTGTTAAGCTTGACAAAATAAGACCCAGATCAAAATGAGCTGCACACAGGCAGAAAAATAACAGTCTTTGCACACCCGATATTCAATAGCTGACCCCATTACCAGTGAACACCGGCCCGGTATGCTGTTCCCACCACATTTCAGACATGTCTTTTAGACACCCCCACTATTGATCATGAACTGATTGTGCGGTGCGAAAAACAATCTGTGCGATTAGACTCAAAGGAGCATGTGGCCTGGCGAGATGTGTGCAGGGCCGCTGCAGTCGCTCTGCCTGCGCGTTCCGTTCCCCAGACGAGCGCAGGACAGATTCTAATTGGCCCGGACAAGCTTTCAGAGCAGGCTGGAGTCTGCAGTTTGCAGAGGAGCAAAGAATACATTGAAGTGAAGGAGATAAAAATATCCTGTCAAAGGACTGAATGGAAAAAAAAAAAGGTAGCAAGACAGCACCTGCTCACACTCCGCATTAATTTACCCCCTCCGAGAATAATTATAGACAATCTAATAATTCCAGCTGCAAGGCTTTATTTTGGCTAAAAATATAATGATCTAAATAGTAAATGGAATGACATGAATATTAAATGTCACATTGAGGAACGGAGCCAGCTGAGCTGGGGTTGTGATTTAGGCAGCTGAAACTCATTCAATCTAGGGTGATGTATGGTAGCCTCGCTGGGTCAAAAAGGATATTTCTTTGAGGAATGATCAAACTGACCTTGCAGTGGGTGTCTCACATTAACGGGCAGAGAACGGTTGAAAATGTAATAACCCTCCGTGTCAGACACGGAACTCAAGGTCTTAGACTTTCATCTTCCCCTTTTTTAGTATAGTACATACACTAAAATTAATTAAGGACAGCAAGATCAAGAGCAGTACATCAGTTGTTTTGGATTAATTATAACTGATGATCATTAAATTTGGAGGCCTTTATAAAAGATTCACTGTGGATTAAAGAAATGATTTTGTTGTATGTACAAGAGCAGCCCTTTAAAAAAAGATTATTAAAAGTAACTTAATCTGGCTGCTTACCGGACTTCAAATTTTACATTAAAAGAAAGCAACAAAATGATTATTAATCTCATAACTTACTATTAGAATTTCAGTTAACACTACATTTGAGGCCTGCCAAGTTGCTTTTTTTTTTAAAGGCCCATATCATACATTTTTTATCCTACGTCTTTTTCCCCCCTCAAGTCCACCTATAAAGTCTGCGTAATTTTTTATACAAAAAACAGTCCTAAGTCATTTTTGCATGACTATTTTTAAGCCTTTTTTATCCTTTAGAATTAAGCATGCTGTTTTTGCTACTGTGCATGTAACTGGGGTCTTATTTCTATAACTTATTTCAGTTTAATGTTAATGGGGGGGCGCTAACATGTGGTGGGCTGAATAGGAGTATGTATGTAAACGTGTTGGTTTTTTATGACGACACAAAAAACAATGAATTCAAAATTGGTTAGTTTTTCAGCTTAGTTTCCTTATATGGACTGTGAGCACTGGGCAGTGTTTACATACCACTTCAAATACTTTTATTTTAAAAAATAGAGTAAAGTTCTGTTTTCCATGATACAGGCCCTTTAAGTTAAAATAAATCTTTATTATAATTACAGTGAACTTGTGTCAGTAACACAGTTTAAACACAGCGCTGTAGGCTGATCTTCAGGCTCGGGAGAGGAGAAGATATGGCCTTTGTTATCCCGTTCTCATGTATGATTTCGTCTCAACTCTGTATTATTCATCCTAATAATCTGATGCTGAATTCCACAGGGTGCTGAATGCCATAGTTCAAACATGGGAGAATCTGTTTCATCTGCCATGAGAAACCCTGCACTTTAACTGCTTTACTAACTGCTGAGCCAGTAGCAGCTAAATCAAGGTCTTGGAGGGAAAGAATGAGGATGGAAAGTGGGGGAGGGGAGGTTTTAAATTTAGACTTAAGTGCTATGGGACAGTCTTTGGTGTGTTAAGGTCCTGTTTTCTTAATTTGATTGCCTCTAAATGCTTCTGCTGCCCCTGACGAACTGCCCATCACTCTTCTTCCCCCTGCCTTTTGTATCGACAGAAAGCTGATCTTGCAGTGGCTCCGCTGGCCATCACCTACGTGCGGGAGAAGGTCATCGACTTCTCCAAGCCCTTCATGACGCTGGGGATAAGTATTCTGTACCGCAAGCCCAATGGCACCAACCCGGGGGTGTTCTCCTTCCTCAACCCTCTCTCCCCCGACATCTGGATGTATATTCTGCTGGCTTACTTGGGTGTCAGTTGTGTGCTGTTTGTCATAGCCAGGTAACATGCCAGTTCTGCCAATCTCAGCTACACATGCAGACATAACCCAACATCTTTAACCTCATTCCATTAACAGTCTAATCAATGCCTAAAAGCATCTTCCCTTGACCCATTACTTACTGTTATGTTTCAAGCCTAAAACCTCTGCTCACTTTACTTCAGCTTAGCTCATTTTACTTTTAATTTAGCTTTAGTGCCTCTTACTGAGAGTGAAAAAGGAAAAAGTACCCAAATGCTAAACTGACATTCTTATAACAGAGTAGCCTCCTCTGGTAGAGTGGCAAAGGGAGGAATCCCTCTAGTGTGAATAGGAGAGATTAGTCCTCTGACCCATTCTGAAAAGAGAAACAGAAAGCGAGTCGAGTCCTTTTTTGGCCAGAGCGGTGGAGGATGTTAAGTGATTCCTCTGCTTGCTCTCGCTTTTCATGCTGACAAGCCTGCTGCCTCTACTGCTCGGCAGCCAAAGCTCCAAAGCACAAATCACACGAGCAAAGATGTGAAATCAGCCGTTTCGAGGCGGTGTGCGTGAGTTTGAGAGGCACAGAGAGAATGGGAATATGTGAGTGTAGGTGTGAATGAGAGTGTTTTGGCATTTCCTGGTGTGAACGGCAACCTCCCCCTCATCCTTCGTCGTCCCCAGTGTCTCCAGTTTGTATCCGCTTTTCTATTTGGATGTTTCCACACCCTGCTTCAAATGTTCTTGGCCACGATCCCTGTGAATACTGAAATGCACAGATGTTTTCAAGTCGATAATCTTCACTCATGTTTCTGTTTTGTAATCCTGCTGGAAATATTTGTACGACTCAGTTGAAAAGGCAAAATCTTAAGATCTTAAGGACGAGCATTTGATAATGCTTCAGTAAGTGGACATGGCTTCAGCTGAGAGAGGGAAGCACTGCTGATGCTGATGTGGCCCAAGAGCTTTTTAAACACAGTTCTAAATCCAGGTTATCACTACACTGAGACCCCTCTTCTTCAAACTGAGCCATAATATGAGACAGCTACTTCCTCAACACCAAACCTTTACCGGGACAGCATTTCCCTTTATGGCCATGGATAGCTGCTGAGGGAAGTGTATAGTAACTTCTAGAGTGTTCAATCATTTCAGTATCTCACATAATGAAATGTAATTAATCATACTGTCAATGTCAATATCATATGCACTTTTAGCATATGGTCATATAATGTGGCAGCATCATGTGTTGTCATTGCTCTTACATAGCCTCATAAACAGCTTTAAAATGCTGTATTACATTTAGTGTAAGTACTCCACAGATGACGAAGAAAGGAGTCTATCTCCGAGAAATAACTGATCTGTTCGCATGGAAACATGAACACATAAACCTTAAACTATGTAACTTTGTGAAAAAATATCTATAAAACAAAATGCAATCTGATAGAACAGCGTTATTTGCTGTTTGTAGTAGCCTGTGGCCATCATTTGAAGCATGGTGGAGAAAAGCTGAAAGAAAAGGCCTCTAGTTAACTCTAAAACTTTTGGGACAGCTCAGCCATGCTCCGTTACCCCAAGAGTTTTATGGTTAATGCACTTGTGTTTTATAAATGTTACTGGCGATATGATCACATAAGAGAATAACAAGCTGCAACTGCCATCTAAGTTGGTTCAGAATATGCACCCATCACCATAAGTGTTTTAAGTTTTATGCTGGGTAAGTGCAAGAGTACCTTTAAGATGTTTGCTTTACTTTGCAGTCCTCTGAGAGAAACACTAAGCTTAGGCCCATTTCTTAGTGGCATGTTCCTATAGCTGCACAAGCTTCAGTATTGCCCTAAAAGCCCTAACACATGGAAATAGCTCCACAGAATGTGGGTTTACTGTATATGTGTCTGTTTGTACACATTTATTTATGTGTGCATGTACTACTGCTTTGTGAGCTTATTGTATGTGCTGTATGTGAGAGTGAGAGAGAGAGAGAGAGAGAGAGAGAGAGATCACAGTGTGACATAATGGGGGCTGGTGGAGGTTTTCCTAAGGCTTTGTGTTCACCATGCAGTATTTAGAACGTTTCCTTCTGGGTGCTATACCAAAATCAAATATTTACCTACTCAACAGAATCCTTTTTGCATATCACCAGTTGTTTTCGTTGTTGCTGTTGTTATTGTTTTCCTTTCCTCACAAAGTTTCCCTCTACTTTTCCTCTTTCCTGTGGTGTAGCCCCCGTTCTCAATGTGTTTTGGTGCAATGGCACGTTCCTATAACCTAGCAGAGAGCCGCGTCTGTTAGAGCTAGGCCTTCAGTTTAGGCCAGGTCAAGAAGAAACCCATACCTACGATAATGTTAATTTCTGCTAGCGCCGCTTTGAGATTCTAGTAGCGTGTGTATGTGTGAGGCCAACTGCAATTCACAAACATTTTTTGGTCATTCTAATAGACATATTCAAATATATATGACAGATTTTACTGTGACTCCTTTAGTAAAGAGTCCTGGCATAGAACTGCCACTGCTGTTTTCCATTTCTAACATCTGACTGAAGCACATTGGTCAGCCTTCATCCTAGCTCCTGAGTCCTAACCAGTGGGAGAGCTTGCTTAGCTCTATCTATCTAGATACCACAGAGAGAAAAAAAATATTGGTTTTTCGTTGAGTGTTTAAAGAATTTAACTCACATTTCCCACAAAAATTTCACAATGAAATTATAGTATTACTACATTACTTGTAGAGTTTAAATACAACATTATATTAAGTAAAAAAAAAAAAAAGAAAAACACTAAAAATTACAGACATTCATGTTTTTTTAGTATTTCATAGAAATCACTATCTGAGGGTTCCCCACTGCTATAACCCAACGAAGTATTAGGTATATTAATGAGCACGGAAAACTAATTTCAAAAGCCAGGCATGGAACTCAGTCACACTCCTTACTTACACTCCTCTTGACCGAACTGCGCATGGTCACACCACAGTCTTATCAAAGGCAAGCTCGTTGCCATATTGAATAATGCGGGGGTAAAAGCTACTCAGTTGGATACAACAAATCTGGCTCAAGCTGTTGACTCAACACTGCACACAAAGTCTTGCATGCCAAATAGTTTCATCTAAGTATGTTCTCAACTCATTTAAAAGTGCTATTATGGTTGCTGCAGTGCGAACACATCGGGCATAAGAAACAAAAGCGCGAGTGCCTGGCTGAAAGAGTAATGTCCTCACTCGAGCTGCTGCAGGCCCTTATCAGATCTCCTTCATGTCCAGGTGGAATATGCTATAAAATGGACTGCAGTAAAGGGGATTTAACAGACCTCCACAGCAAGCGTGGGTGGGGACTCTAAATAGAGGGCAACAAATGAAATTGGAAGAGGAGTCAAGGTCCATAACGAGAGAGCTCTACCTGTTGTTTGTGAAAACACTTGAGTCCAAACTGCCTCTGTGTTTGATATATTGTGCACTGTGTGGAGCAAAAGCTAAAGCTAATGACTTTTCCACTATGTAGTGAAGTAGTTTATGTTGTCAAAGCAGGTCACCTAGATTCCTCTCTGGACTATTTGAATAAACATCTATAGAGAATCTGCTGATGGAGATTTAGAGTCAGGCTTTTCTCTCTCTCTCAGCCAGATGTACGTATGAGCTGAGGCATAGGGCAAAGTATGCCTTGATGTGACTACAGAGGTGTTATTTTACTCCTGCTAAAAAGCGATAACATGCTGTGAAATGATAAGATGGACTGTGTGCGCATTTGTGGCCGCATCTCAGCATATTTTGCACCGCATCTTCTCACATATGTGCGTCTGGTCCTGAGAGTCTTACGGTAATGTTAAAAAATTCTTTCAGCGTGTGATGGCTCCTGCTTCCATCTAAACACTGTGTTGCTGCCATAGTTAAAAGAAGTCTCTCGGCAACACGTTTTGAGAACCTAACGCAGAGGTCAGCAACCCAAATGTGAAGAAGAGCCATTTTGTCCATTTTACCATCTTGGCTGTAAATATGTAAAAAAAAGTAAAGGCTAAAAATATAATACAAACAAAAACGCAGACTTACTTTGCTCTGCTTTAAGCTTTAGCTCATCTATAGCTGCTTTTCTCACATATCCAGCAGGAAGCTTTTTCTCAAAAGTAGAATATTTTTTTGTAAAATGTGTCTCAGTGTTTGACTTTTTACAAGACTGAAGTCAGCTTCTCATTCACCAGCTTCTTGTTCGAATTTCCTGTTCCACCTTAAATGGTGCCTGAGGCAGCAGAATGTATCTGCTGCACCATTTAAGGTGGAAAGGGAAAAAACTTCAGCTTCGCGACTTTTTAGTGTTTGACAGTTTCTCGTTGCAGATTAAACATATAAGGAAACCAGCTGGACTGCTTATAAAAGTCCATTTGTCACCAAATCATTGATGTTCATCTTAAATTTTTCTCTTTGCCTTTTTGTTAGCTATACTAGCCAGGCAAGATGTTGTCTGCATTGCTATAGTGACCAGCGGTAGCATGCCAATCTTCAGTGTTAAAGGTTGGTGAGTTATACATTCCAGCATTTACAACCATTTATTGTTAAAACTGTTAGAACGATCAGCAGAGCTTTATTTTACTGCAAAGGAGGATTATGTTATTTTTACCTTAAAATCTGATTCAGTGAAAGAGCTGCATGTTGCCAACCCCTGACCTAACACAAACTTATGGTTTTAAAAGGTGGAAGAAAATTGTCAATAGTTGGTCAAACTGTAGTGAATCAAGCTGAATCTCAGTCAGCCACACATGTATTATCTTCATCTTGTGCAGTCCTCTCTCAAATGCATATGCATGAGGAGAAGTGCATTTTGCACTATTTCATGCACACAGCCCATAACTTGCACATTTTGGCTCGTTCGATGCGTCGGATTTGTGCCTGAAACTGGCACAAAAGGCGTAATACATCTGGCCCTCTCTCTCTCTCCCTCCCTGACGTTTAATAAGTTTATGGTCACCAAAGGAGGCTATAATAACTCTCGATTGTGTCTACACATGCATTTGGCATACATTTTACATCCAATTGTATAGGCTGTAAACAACTAGCACTTTTTAACTGCATGACTGTGTTTAGTTAAGCTCCTTACTTGTTAATTTAGTTTCTCCTTATTTGACAAAAACTTAAGTAAAGCTTGAAAGTTTACTGCATCATCAAATATATATCAGTAATAAAGAAAGGAGCATGTATTTTCTAAACTATGTTCAATACATTTAGAAGATGTTACAGAAAAGTGTTCAGAATGTAAACATTTGGATTTAAAGTGTGCTGAAAGATGAACATATAGATTTTGTGCTGACATTTGAAATACTAAGGTAAATTGACAGCGTTCAAATGACAACCTTCCTTAAATCCTTGTACAGATTAAAGCCCAATAAGCTACCAGAGGGCCATTTGCAAAACAAGCTGTCAGTGTGTGAAAGCTATGCGGGCCACATTGATTATTGACGCTTCCTTGAGTAGAGATGGAGCGAACCCTCCCCTTGGACTGCCTGCAGCCAGTGCAGCAGTGTTCTCACATAGTTTCCACACGCGCCAGAGCCTTGTGTCACTCTTCTCTGGCCTGACACGGTCATAATCAGATGTGTGATCAGTCAAGTTTTCAGCAGGATGACCCCCGATTCTCGTAAGCAGATAAAAACGGCGGGCATTGTCGCCGCCCAGCCGTGCGCGTGTCTCTCCACGGCTTATCTCTCCACATTGACCTTGCGCAAAGTCTATCTTTTTTCCTCGGCGGTTTAGATGACCTGAGATAACAGAAGGTCAGTGTAATTGGATCAGACCGACAGCTAAATGGGCGGCTAGCGCTTCCCTTTCGTGGTCAGGTTAAGCCGCATCTCTCTCACTCTCTCTCTCTTTGTCCCAGGCTGCTTTGGTATTCCCCCTGCGCTGTGCTGCGCTCCACTGGCGTGCTCCAGCCATGTGCACGCAACAGCCATGCTCATCCGCGCTCTCGCCGTGTGGTAATTGGCTTTTCGGTGCATGATCGAGGAGGGGAAACATGCCGAGAGACCCTCGAGCGAGGGGTCTGGGCCAGGCCAGCAGGCCCATACATCTTGGCAAGGTCGCACCACGCATGAACTCAATTCGGCATCACAAATTGACAAGCAAGCAAATCTGCTGCAAATTGACGGTGTGGACAGGTTGATTTAAACTCAAGGATTCTTTTAAGCACAGGAAACAAAGGAGGGGGGGTCCTTGAGAAACTCACAAATGATAGTCGTGTAGCAAGTAGACAGAAGAGAAAAAAAGGACTTGTTCTAATCTGATTTTGTTAGCTAGTAACCACTGCCAGTATACTTTAAAGGCACACAGCAGCAGTAATGATTAGTTAGATAAACTACAGCTGCTTCAGAGGAGCGAGACCGCACTTCCAAGGACTGTTGCACAGAATTTCTAAAGTAGTATTTATGTCTTACTTTATCAGTTGGAAAATATTTGTGTTTCTATTTCCATCTACCTGCTCCATGGTGGCAAAAGGGAAAAAAAAACATTGCAGACAAATGTACTCTTCAGCATTTGATTACTTACTCTTGTCTTGCTCTCAGATTCAAGAATCTATGTAATTCTACCACTTCAGCACAAACCAAATCAGGTCATGATGCTTAATTGTAGCCCAATCAACCTTTACTAATGCAATGTCACTTTTGTTTAACGTGAATAAATGGGAAATCTTTTTTTTTTGTGGCTGAAGAGAAGTGTAGAGGGAGAGAGGGAGTGGAGTGCCGAGATGATGGGACAGACTTGTTTGATCTGCCACATTTTAATAAGCTTGTAAGATTATCTGGATTATTAGATTTTTCTGTGGATGGAGTGATTCAGATTGCATCGATTAAATTACAGTGCCAATTGCCTTTGATGTGAATGTGTCAACATGCACGGTTCTCTGGGGGAATGGAGGAAAGGATTATGGTCAGAGTGAATGGGCTGCTTATAATAGTGTTTTTGCATTGAATTAGGGGCAATGCAGCATGGGACTGTTTGATTCAAGTAAACTGCTCTAACCTACACTAAAGCAGATCAATTTACCTGTCACATCTCTAACATTTAAACCATGAAAACACTGAACAGACCGATAGCAATAGTCATTCGGAAATGCTTGTTTTTAATGAACACTTGTGTAAATAACCAGTGTTGATGCTAATCTGTCTCTCTTTCTTTATATCTCTTTAGGTGGATCGTCCTTTCTTTTTTTTCCTGTTACTTTATCTGTTGTTTATTCATTTTCACTGAAAAATGTATTTGTTCTGTGTTGATCGCCGCAGGTTTAGCCCCTACGAATGGTATAACCCCCACCCGTGCAACCCCGACTCGGACGTTGTGGAAAACAATTTCACCCTGCTAAATAGTTTCTGGTTCGGAGTTGGAGCTCTCATGCAGCAAGGTAGACGCCTCTGCCTGCCCACCCTTAGCACATGTCCCACTCTTTTGCTGGGGGTCCAACTTTTGCTCTTATCAGGCCCACAACCCTGCATGGGTGCCTCTGTGCATGTAGCTAGATGGAGACTGGTTGCTGGTCTGAGGTAACAGACGACTGTGTGAGTCATGAGAAGTGAATGGAGTGTGGTGAATGTGGATAGAAGAGCTAGGTGCAACTACTCATGCATGCTTCTCTTTCATTACCACCATTCCCTTTTTGTAAGGCTGCTGAACAGGTAAGTCTAATTCTCCTAACCACCCTTAGTTTGCAACAGCCAGACGGAGGTATAGTAAGACAAACACAGTGCTGTGTCTTAGCCTGACCCAGCCTGAGGCTATGTTTCTTCTGACCAAAGCCTGATGCCACATCTTTTCCGTTACCTGATGTCATATTGAGATGGAGAAAAGAGGGCAAAGTGGTGCTAATTTGAGATAAAATGGGATGACTTTGTTTGAATATTATATTGCAAACAAACTGCATGCCTTCCATTGCATTATAGAGAAGAATGTGCGTTTACTGGGAAAATGCAACATTCTGGAGCATTAAAGGCTAGCAGGATCTGCTGGCTGATTGGCATGGTTACTGTGGAGTTTTGCACTGCATTCGTTCATTGGAATGGAGCACAGAGAGGTTTTGAGATAGCAGTTCTGCATTGTGCAGAAATCCTTGACTAGTTGCATGCAGTGAAGCAGGTGGCATGGGTATGTTTTGATTTTGTAGGAATTTAAGTCAAAGATTTATGGTGTTCATGGAAAGTATTTGTTATTTACAAAAGTTTCCTCATGTAGTACTTTCATGCTGAACATTGAGTACTGTAATAATTGGAGTACTATCTCATGTATTCTGATGCTCCATAGTGTTTTGCCACTCATAAAGGTTACATAAAGAAGACTTGCGTGATTAATGAGGACATTCCTTTGAGTGTTGCTCTTGCTCTGCGGAGGTTTCAGGATTTGTCTATTGTTCATTGCTTTTGAAGATGTGGTGTCAGGCTAAAGAACAAGGGACAGGCTTTGAACTTCATGCCTGTCTGCATGACATGTACATTCAGAGTGAGAGGCCCTACACTGTAGAGAGGCTCCCCTGCCCGCGGCTTGCCAGCCCCCAGAAAACTGTGGGATGTGGTGTTTGGACATGACGTTACCTTGGGTACATGACAGTCAGCCCCAACCAGGTTTTATTAGGTCAGGCCCGACTGTGGCCTGGCAGGATGAGACTGGTCCCTGAGGTCCAAAGGGGTAAAGATGAAAAAGAAATGTGACAGACGCAACCCCTCTTTCCTGGCCTGTGGGTCTTTTTTTTACTGTGTGTCCCCGGTGTCCATTCTTTTCATGTGATTGTTTGTTTGTCTGAGCCGTTTTGCCGATGAGTAGCGTGGGCTGCAGGGCACCTTTGGAAGTGATGAAGTGGTTTGCTGAATCATGTCTAACTGTGCACTAGTCTGATAGCACAAGAGAGTGAAGGTGCTCCTTTTTTCTCCCTCTTCTTTTCAACAGCTGTCTGGGCAGAGGTCTGGACCTGGAGTTGGCTGTCATGTCCAAACTCTGGGCTTGAGTGACGGGTCACTAGGCAGACTGTGAGAAAGTTAGAGCAGAGTCAATCTTCAATGGCCTGATTCAATCTTATACAAAGCTCTTTTCTGATTCGTCTGAAGCGTATCTTTCCCACAGTCCATCGCCTACTGCAGTAGACTGAATGTGCAAGATCAAAGCTTATAGTTGCTTCTTAATGCTTGAGAAGAACCACCACTTAACTTCCTTTCCTGTTTATCTCTGACCCCTCCTACTCAACAGCTAGACCATTCACCTTTAACCCAGCCCTCCTTTGACATATCCTCACTTCTCCTGCATGAACATTCTGTGAAAATAATGAGAGATACTAAAATTTTTATGTGGAACCCTTGCTGGTTTGGCTTTGAATGACTAGTTAACTTGTGGATTAGAACCTCAAGATGTAGTCTAATGCAGATCCCGTGTTAGATAAACACAGATTAACTCTCTGTCATGTCTTTTAATGTTAGGGCCTGACCATTCTGGACCTAGTACACAGTTAGCATGGTTGTTTCTCCCAGGCCTTGGTTTCTCCGTGCATTGGCAGCCTCATCCTTGCCCTGCAGCTCTACTCTTCTCTGCAGCGTGCTCAGACCAGGCCAGGCCTCTCCAGCCATGACCGCTGCCCTTCTCTGACAACTCTCTCTACTCCTCTCCGCTAGGATCTGAGCTCATGCCCAAAGCCCTTTCCACCAGGATAGTAGGAGGCATCTGGTGGTTCTTCACTCTCATCATCATCTCCTCCTACACGGCCAACCTGGCCGCCTTCCTCACTGTGGAAAGAATGGAATCTCCCATTGATTCAGCCGATGACCTGGCCAAGCAGACCAAGATTGAGTATGGCGTGGTGGAGGATGGCTCCACAATGACCTTTTTCAAAGTGAGTAAAACTGTGCAAAACTGCCTGTAACCCACAGAGTTTAACAGTCAAAATGAATCTTTTTGTTTTGATTGAACATCACAGTGAGAACAGGAAAATGGTATTACTATAAATCTCCTTCTTAAAAACATTTGATTTTGAACATTTACACTTGTTGTAACTGTTGTTATTATAAGTTGAGAATTTAAAGTCATCTGCCAACACCTATTTCTGTATATTGCACCCATACACAACTCTAGATGCTACAAAGTACAAAACACCATATGGCTTTAACTGCTTCTTCATAACACATCCTGTAAATGTTGAGTGCACTGTGCAGAAGGTGTAATGTACAGAAATCGCCTTTTCAAAAATATCCTTTTCTATTTATGTTATGTATCATAACAGTTGAGCATGTTCACAAACATGCAAACAAACTAAGTGCCTTTGTTTAGAAATAAAAGCTTAACTTATTGGTAAGGGGGTTCTTATGTTATCAGGACCAGACTGGCAATAGCAGTTTTATGTTGTTTCAAATATTTTGTCTATAATTACACTTTTGGGTTGTTTGTGCTGTCTTTAAAATGTCAAACAAACAAATAAGGCCTTATACTGAGGGATGTTGAAGTGGTGGTGCAGATAAAGTAAAATAGCAATGCATCTGAGGTTCTCCATCAGTGTAAACAAACAAACAAACAAACATGAATAAATTTGTAGATTAGTTGATTCAGTGAAATATCAGAAAGTAAATAAAACTGTGAAAAAGGGTGAAAATTGTGGATAGACAATATAATAAATAAAGGTGTTAATGTGTGACCTACTAATTGGGGGCATGCTTGACAGCTTCTTTATCACCATGGTGTGATTAAACACAGTCACAGTGACAACCTGCTCAGTACACACTGTTCAGTTCTGTCCAGTGTCTGTGTGTAGGCAACCTGCTGGACTTCCTTTTAATCCCTGCAGCCTGTGGAAATTCTCACTTCTATGCGTAAATGATTTTTATTAAGGCAGTATTTCAGCTGTGAGACCACTGCTTGGAAAGCATGGCCACTGTGGGCTTTAGATTACTCTAGCGTTCACAGAGGGAGAGAGGAATGAAACATACAGCCACTTCTACTACAGACGTTTCTTCTTTTTTCTTCCTTTCTGCAAGATGCTTATATTAGCTTCTTTTCCACCTTATTGTGTCTTTTCTTTGTGTAAAAATGGAATGCTACCCCCTAACATTTATAAGAATATATAACAGAAAGCTAAAATCAAACACCGCAAAATACATCTGGTTATGGCATTGAAGCTTTGTAGAGCGGTATTAGATATAATTTTAAAACATATCACTGTCATAATGAAGCTTCATTTTGTGTCAAGTTATTATTATTATTATTATTATTATTATTATTTGAAAACAGCTGCTATTTCAACTGTGTATACATTTCACAGTGAATAGAGCAATATAATGTGATCAAAACTTTGTTCCATAAAAGTTAAGACAATTTTTTTTTTTCCTGAGATTTGCTTCAGTGTTTAAATTTCCATTTTACCTCATGGTCCTAATGACCTCAGATTTATGGTAAAGGTTGTAGACATACTGTAGCTCTAAGAAACTGTAGATGTTATGGAAGCTTTGTGTCGAATGGCTCACCAAGCATTCTCCTTTTCCAGGTGCTGATTTATTGACTGATTGAGTGTCTGTGTGTCTGATTGACAGCCTGATGGATTGGCTGATAAACTAGTAAACTGAGGGCATTGATTAGGCGTAATGCACTGTACATATACAGCCAGTCAATGCTAGTCTCCCCTCAATCTCATCTGGAATACTGAGAGAAATAACAAGCTAAATCCCTGCAATTTATGCAATTATTGACCTAAAATTGCTCACCAAAAATACATCACTAATGATACCTAATTATATAAATGTCAGCATGAGATACTATGAAAGTTCTGAAATTGGCCATGCAGAGACCTTCCGCCACTGCATCCAACTCCACACACACACACACACACACACACACACACACACCACATATATATACACACACACATAAACACTTCCTCCTTATTGTTGCCTCTGCTCTGCAGCAGCCCTTTTGGACTCCTCTTTCAATAACACTGAATTATTTAATTGAATAATCTCTGTCATTACTGTTACTTGACCTGGCTTGTTAGGTGTCACACTGTAGCTACCGAGGGGGAAAGGCTTTATTTCAAGATGGAGAAGAAGATTCTGACTGTGGTTGTTTTTGCTTATAACACTCATTCTTCATCTCTCAGTCTGTGCTGCTGCTTCTGAGCTGGATAACATGGCAAGGGAACAAATAAAACCATCTGTATGGACAAACATAATGTCATTGCTGTAACTCACAGCGCTATTGATCAGTTCAAAAATGAATCTAAAATCTAGCAGAGAAAATCATTTCAAACATCTGTTGTAAGCTTTGCAACTTGCTGTTCCATGGAGGAATTCAGTCTCACCTGTGAAGTATTGGCTGACAGATTACGATCACATCCAGCCATGATTTCAGATAGAACTCAGCTAGTAGTGTTAACTGCAAAAAAAATGCAACTTTTTACTGTTAAGATATCACTGTGTTGTATTTATGTAATTACACATTTGATTGCTTAATTACTTCTGAAATTATATTTACAGCAGAAGCACTTCTGCCTTTCTCACATTTGTTTTGATGTTAAGAAATGTAAAGATTTTTTTTTCTTTCTACAGAGCAAAACTTTATGCACAATAATACTCTTAACACATTCAAATTACAATATAATGTACCATACTGCATCAAAGAAATAGACTGATTAGGATCACATCCAGCCATGTTTCTGGATAGACCGTTAGTAGCATTAACCTTTGGATGTTGAGCTAATACTTATAAGCTACTGCTTTGTGTTAATTATGTAATTACATATATAATTGCATAATCAGTTATGTAGTGTAATTGCATTTACATTTCAAACGTTTGTTTTGATATGAAGAATGACAAAAGCAGAGCATATATAATAAGAATGATTTTTCTTACCACAAAACAAGATTGTATGCATAATAATAAATCTTCTGCACAATGAAATCCTAATAAAACACCCCCTCTGTTTATTTAGAAACACAAATGTGGTATGGATTGAAAGTTTGGAATCCACACTTATGACTGAATTTTTGCTATTGCAATAAGTTATGAATTAGAAATAATTATCAAATTAAACAATGTGTTTGTTATCTCTGGCAGTATGTGCAACTTCCAAGGTTAATTACAGTCCACTCCAAGGGTTAATTACTGGTCTAACTACTGGCTATTCCAAAATGTGAGGTAGAATAGTTTAGATCATCCAAAGAATCTGTCAACTGCAGAATCTACCTTCTTGACTCAGACCTGCAAAGTGCTTCTTTCACAGCTAAAGTCATCTATTGTGCCTGCTTAAGTAGACCTAACATACTCATTGAACACTTGAGCAATTGTTCAAATACAGCCTTGCTATTCTCAGTTCTTATTTATTTATTTTAAGATACCACATTTTGAGCTTCAAAAGCCATTGTGATCAAAAGAATGGCAAGTTAGCGGTTAGCGCCGACAACGGCAGCACATTCAGTCTCCATGCCTTCTCTTCCTCCGTCTCACTGTCTCTGTGTAACCTTCAACATCAAAACAATCTGCGGCATTGGCTTTTCGCTGAGCGCAGCAGCATCACACCCTCACTCACCTCACCTCCTCTCCTGTGCACCTGCCCTGCTCTCCTCCATGAACGAGGGAATCATCCCTCACTCCAGCCCTCCTCCTGCTCCACGCCTGCCACCGCTGTCATCGCTTTTCTAATTTGTTGTGGAGGTTTTCACAGACTCAGATGAAATCTCTGGCCTGCTCGCTTTCTCGTTTTCCTCAGTCTCCCTCTCTCTCTGACTCTTTTTCTTTATCTTCCCCTCATCCCTCTCTTTTTTTTGTTGAACTTTTTTGTGCCCCCCCGCCTTGTTTGACTCTCTTTTTTCCTTTTCTATCTACCTTTATCTATCTGTCTCTTTCTCGTTTTCCTGCCTCTTTCTCTCTCTCTCTCTCTCTCTCTCTATTACTCGCTTACTTTCTCTGTTTTTCTTTGTCCTATCTGCCTCTCAGTCTTTTCTTTTCTTGCTTTTGCACTTTATCTTTTTTCTTCCTTTCTCTTTTGAGCTCTTCTGTCTCCCAGTTTTCTCCTTCTCCCTCTTTGCTATCTCTCACTCTCTATCTTTTGTCTGACTCTCTTTCTCTCGCTCTTTTTTCACTTACTTTTTCTCTCTCTCCCTTTTCTGTGTGACTCTCTCTCTTGCTTTCTTTTCACTTACTTTCTCTCTCTCTTCTGCCTGACACTCTCTCTTGCTCTTTATTTTCACTTACTTTGTTCTATTTTTCTTTTTCCTATCTCTCTCTTTTCCTCTTTCTCAGTCTTTCTCTCTCATCATTATGCTTTTTTCTTTCTATTTTTCTTTTTTGTCTCTCTCTCACTTTTCCCTGTTTTCTTCTTTTGCTTTTGCACTTTTTCTTTATCTATTTTTCTCTTCCTTTCTCACTTACGCTCTTCTTTTTTTCTGCCTGATTTTTCTGTCCCTCTCTCTCTCTCTCTCTCTCTCTCTCTCTCTCTCTCTCAATGCTTCTCTTTCCCTTCTTTTTTCTCTTTCCCTCTCTCTAAATTCTCTCTCACTCTCATATGCCTGCAGACACAGACTCTTGCTCTCTCTCTCTCTCTCTCTCACTCTCTCTCTTGTGCATGCATGTGCACATTTCTCACATTCGCATATTTCCTCGCAGTGTTCCCCTTATCAGGCTTCAGTGAGTGTTATTTTGCAGTGGGCTGTGAGGTGGATCCCTGCAGGACTGTAGTGCTCAGCAGTAAGTTTATAAGTCGTGATGGAGAGGGAAGCTGAATCACTGCCACTGATGCAATTTGGCCAGCAGGCAGAGGGAGCAGTTCCAGCCACAGGGGGAAGGAGAGGGGTTCAGAATAGAGCCTGCACTGTGATTCAACCTCCATATAATTAATACACCAAAGAAGGG